TATGGTATGGTATGGTATGGTAGTATGGTATGTTATGGTATGGTAGTATGGTATGGTATGGTATGGTATGGTATGGTATGGTATGGTAGGATGACCCATGGCAAACTGGTCCTACGTAAGGGATCAAACAATGTGCAGCCCAAAGACCCCCTATGAAGATTTTCTAAATTGGAAACAGTGTTACTTTGCCTGGTCACACTTCAATGGGGTCTCCCTCTGGAGCCAGACCTTGAAGGCCAAAGTGGAGCCAAGGGGGCAGACTGGTGACTTCCTGGTGGCCAGGATTTCACCCCTGGAGCCCGGCATTGCACAACCCAAAGAGGAGATGTGGGTCTCCCTTTTCATGTGAGCGGCCAAAGAGGTCTTGTGCAATGTGAGAGAGGTAGTGGCTGAAGGTGTGGACCTTTGTGATACTGACCTTGTTGTGGGTCAGTGGGAAGAGTACTTTAAAGACCTCCTCAATAAGTGTGGTCCCCTTATTTAAAAATGGGGACTGCAAAATGTGTTCACACTTGGCACAAGATTATGGTACACTGCAATAATTACGATGTTATTTCGTTACAAAATGTTGTTGATGGAATGAAAATTAAACTATCTCAGTACTTCTCACACCCAACCGAGCAACAATGGACTACTTATGGTATCTGAGTGGTGCTACTGATAAAGAGCTGTGTTACAAAAAATGTGATGACCACAGACTCGGCCTGCATGCATAAGGTGATGCAGACTGGGCCGCAGATGAGACAGATCATGGGAGTTCAACAGGTTGCTGTATCAGTCTCTCTGAGAGATCAGATGACCCCTTATCTCATAGAGAAACAGAAAGCAGTCCACAGTTGCCTTGTTCACTTGTGAAGCAGAACATGTGTCATAGCCTGTAACAGTCCTGGAGTGTGTGTACTTGATGCAACTCCTTGAGCACATTAGTAAATATGAGTACACATCACCTAGGATTAATGAAGACAACCAGGGCACTGTTGCTATAGCAAAGAACCCCGTGAAAAGGCGATGTTGTAAACACATAGATGTAAAGTATCACTTTTTTAGGTCAACGCTGAAATAGGGAAACATATCTTTAAGGTACTGTCCGACTGACAGCATGGTTGCAGACCTAATGACTAATCTCATGTAAACTTACCAGGTTAAACAGCTTTTTGTTTGGTGTGTAAGAATGTATTGTTTTCATTCCACACGAATGGTTGAGGTCAGAAAAAGTGGGGGTGTTAGAATATGTGCTCTGGTGTGATGTTATTTACATGTCAATGGGTGTATTAGCATTTGGGCTTTTATTTTGAAATGCACTAATAGAGGATATGACATGTAATGTATCACATGTTGTGTCATGAGCCTATCAGGCCTGTATACAATGACCTCTGAACCCATTTATACACCAATAAAAGCGGATTGTCGGGGGCAGCCAAACACTCTCTCTCGCCAAGCTCCTAGTGGAAGTTGAACTCTGCGTGTTTGCGGAAGTTTTTCCTCCAATCGGCACACCAAACTGCGGTGACCTCCCTATTCAACTAACACCAAACGATTAGAAATTTGACACAAAAAAAGTGTTTCAAGCGTTATCCGTTCTTTCACAATCCATTGTTGAATTGTGATCGGCAGAAGCTTTTCCGGTTCGTGCCTCACTTTTTTTACAGCAGTGGCCCAAAATAATCTCCTAACGCATGGGTGTTCTGCTTTCTGATCACGTGACGTGTGACATGCGCGGATGAAGATCGGCGTTAGAGCTGGGATGCTTGTTCTCATGGTGGTGGGTTCGTTCCGATGCCCACACAGTAAAAAAAACTGCGGTTGGATTTAAAATGACGACTTTTGTCGACAATGGCAATTAATGAGTTAACTTCACGACAGCGTGAATGCAAAGTTAAAAAAAAGATTCCATGCAGAAACCTTTCAGAACTTTGCTTAGGTAGACTTGTGAAAAAAGGCAAGGGGAAGACTTAAAAACATTTAACCAGCACTGAGCTGGAGAATCCACCTGGCTCTCCATCAAAACACTGGACTATGCTTGACCCAGGCCCGACTGCTGCCTCATAACCATCTGACAGCATCTTCAAAGGCCTTGTCTTCTTGAATATTCATAATTGTCAAGGTTCCCACCAGAACTGCATCTTCAACACACCTTCTACTCTCTATTTTTCAGCACCACGGACAGCACTTCTTCTTCAAAGAGGATACATGGGTCCCCTTTCCCATGGGCTCACCATTTGTGGGAGGGACCAAAAGGGTCGGGTGCAGTGGGTGGTGGGTGGTAGCCAAAAGCAGGGACCTTGGCTGTCTAATCCTCAGCTACAGAAACTGACTCTCGATACGTGGAATATCACTTCTCTTGTTGGGAAGGAGCCCATGACAGTGAAACCTGGAAATGTGTGATTGGGAGGAACGTCCCCTTGATCTGACTCGGAGCTGTGCTTTGTTTTTGGACTGTGGTTTATAATGAACACCATGTCTTTATGTGCTCTTGGTACCAGGATAGCTCAGGCCGCAGTTTGATGATCAACTTTGTTGACGTGTTGTGAGTTGGCTTGGATTGTGGGGGAGGATGGCCATCAGACCTGTCCTGTGGTGGACTGGCCATCTGTGAGTTCAGTAGAATCCTATGAATATGTTCATGAGCCAGTGTTGGCCTTTTCACAGAGAGGCTGAGAGCAGTAGAGTATCAGATGACCTCATTGATGACTTTATATCTAGAAAAAGGAGTTGTTTGCATCTGTAGAAGACTTCTTCAGTTGTTGAAAGAGGCGGTTCATTTATTGTGTGCTCAAAGTCGCCCTAAAGTACAGCCAACTGGGGTTGTGGCCAGGGGCCTAAGATGTTTAGGGGTCTATTGTTTCAGGTTGAACAAAAACAACAACTAAAAAAACCCATTGTTGTAATATTTGTCAGGTTTTCAGTCAATCATCTCCTGATGCTCCTTTAAGACTGCTGATTGATCCAAATTACAAGTGACCTACTCACCCACGTGACCATGACCTCACCAATCAAACAATTATATGATTTCAAGACCGGTTCCTTTAGATGTAAGGAAACCTGAAAACTTGTCAAAACTTGCTCTGGATAAATGTTTTTGTCAGGTTAAAATGATAATGTGAACACAATGTCTGGAATTCCCCAACGTTTTATTTCGTCTGCTGATCATATCAGTGCAATTGTTAAACGTCATCACTGATTAAACAAGTTCTAGTTCAGCTACGTTTTAGTGAAGAAAGGCCTGTTAGTTCAGTGCTGATGTTCGGAGCATAAACTAAAGAATAAAAGTAAGACGTGTGTCACAACTCCACACTGTGGTGGTGGTGGGGGGGGGGTACATGCTTTAGTGACTCTAAGAGCTGCAGCAGCAGAAGTTCAGAGATGCTGTAAAAATCCAGATTGAACAGATTATGCAGCAATGAAAAGCAGACAGTTTTGGAATGAGTCGAGAAGAGTTGTGACGGTGGAGAGGTCAGCCGTTGTGGAGGGGTTGTAGGAGCGAGTTCCAGACGGTCATGGAGGACGTAAATATAGCTTTTAAAGGAGGAACTGTACATTCATTCTGCTCACCTCTGAACGCTCCGTGGAGGTATTTTTTCTTCTAAATATAGCTTTTTATAAAAATTTTCCATTTTCCAACTTTTATTTCATTGTGTAATTTCCCATGTAGACCAAAACAAATCTCAACCTGCTTGAATGATGGCTCTCTGGTCGATGCTAACCCTAGCTCTCTGTTCCAGCTGCTTCTGTAGAGTGAAGCTTCTCAAACTGAGGCTCATCTAAGCCACAAGAACACTCGAGCGGTCTGGCTAGCATAAGCTCAGCCGAGCTCTGAAGTAGCACAGATGACCCCATTGGTGACTCTACATCCAGAGAAGGTTGTGCATCTGCAAAAGGCTCCTGCTATTGCTGGCAGAGGCTGGTCACATGACCTGTGCAACTACCAAGGTGCAAACCTAAATGGCTCTTCACGATAGTCACTTGTTATTGGTGCGGCCCTCAGCCAACCAGATACCCCCGGCAACATTTTCCTAAGGGCAGTACCACTATAAGCAAGGTGGGCGTGTGTGTGTATGTGTGTGTGTGTGTGTGTGTGTGTGTGTGTGTGTGTGTTTAGTTGTTTATTTTAGTGTTAACACTATCTTCTGACAGCACAATCACACAAGTCAGAACAAAGGATTTTGTGTTTCTGTTAATATTTGTGACTTATTGTGAAAGGTTGCAGGAAGTTCTGAGTGTGTGCGTGGTGAGACCCCACCTCTGACTTATCCAAGGAAACACATTGTGTTATTTTATATTTCTTCCAATGAAATCTTTCCCAGAATCCTCAGCTGCGATAAAAGCAGATCTAATGGAATCAGTTCCCGGAGCACAACGTGACCTTTCCCTGGAATGGTGTAAAATAAAAAAACACCATATTTTTCCGGTGTGAACGTTTCCTTTCCCAGGACCTCAGACAACTTGTTATTTAGCAGTTCAAATTTTCAAATACAAAGTTGAAGACTCTGTTGAAACGAATAAAGTTTTAATTTAAATCTAGAGGAGATGTCGCTGAAACCACACCTGATGGATGTGTATAGGCAGAAATGTGATGTCCTGGGCCATATTACATCTCAAAAATTAGCCCTCAACCACCTCGTTACAGTAACAATCACCGTTATTTACAGCCTCATCATAAAGCCTCTGACTGATGATTGGTTAGACCAGATCTACACTCACCCCACAAAGTACGAAATGATGATGAGTTGCACGATCCTGTTGATGATGCCGATCGTCCAGCTCTTCACGACCACCGATTTAGTCGTTTCATAAGTGAAGAAGTTTTTCACACACGACCACATTGCTTCTGTATGTGGATGAAGAAGGCAGAAAAGCTCCGCGACGGAAGATTTTAGGTCCAAAGCCACAAGCGAACGTCTGAGTTGGTTTACAATCTCTTCATGAAGGACGAAGACGTGATGCTTCTGGTCCGGCACGGCCAGATGTCTGAGCCACATCTGCTTCCCTCCTACAGAAGTCTAAAGACACCCCTCCAACACACACACACACACACACACACACACACACACACACACACACACACGTCTGAGGTCAGTTGTTCTTTGTAGGAAAACGTAATTTCAGCCTCGCTGTGCAGCTGGATGTTAGAGTAGTAAACTCTTGCCCCGTGCCTCGTTGTTCCGGCTGATCGTGTTTCGGTGAGCTCCTGATGTTGGATCTAGGACCTTGTTGGCTGTGTTCATCCAGGACATGTTCCAAAAGTTTGTAAAACCCAGTTTTTCATGATTAAGCCTGCTTTAGAGACTATAACGTGGACGTTGTCGTTGTCTTTGTTAAAAAAATAACATTTATGTTCTGCTAGCGGGCTCTGTGTGTGTGTGTGTGTGTGTTTAAACATGCTTTTTTTACACAAACGCAACGCTTCATAACACCACTTCCATTAAACAGTCAGTGTAATGTAGAAAAAGAAACCACATGAAGTGAGATATGGACCTCAGTAAGTGGAGGAGAAGTCATTTTGTGTGAAAGGCGACTATTAGCCTCATGGATCAGAGTCCACATCCTAACACACACGTCTAACCATATCCAGGAAATAACATTACACTCTAACTCACTTACAGCCACTTTCAGTCTAATGCCATCAAAACCCACTGAGCACTTCCATTACACACCAGTCACTCAGAACTAGTCCATAATGGACTGTCATTGGATCAGAAGCTGTCAAATCTCCCCATCTGTCTGCCTGTCTGTCCTTCTGACCATATCTCACACACACACACACACACACACACACACACACACACACACACACACACACACACACACACACACACACACACACACACACACACACACACACACACACACACACACACACACACACACACACACGCGCGCACGCGTTCTGCTGCAGACAGTCGGACTGACGTTGGTCTGGGCGGTTTCTCGTGTCATCTGAGTGGAGCTGCCAGCCGCTGATCAGAGATATTGTGGTGTCAGTTGTTCTGAGGAGGTTTTCAGGCTCACCAGCAGCTACTTAGACTTGTTTTCACACGATGCTGCTCTCCATACTTTTGAATTGTGTTGGAGATACCTGTGGCTGAGTGGCCTTGCTTTCTGAGGGACCAGAAAATCTTTACAGAATAAACATGAATTATTATGAATTAGGTGCAAAAGTCCATCTACGTCACTAATTTTAGACTGAGAAGTCATTTTAAATAGCGAGGCACCGATATGAAAGTTTTGCGCCGATACCGATATTAAGATCACTGTTATGGCCGATAATCGATACATGCCGATACCGATATCCTGACATTAATGCCTCTAAAATCAGAAGATTTTGTTTAAAATGAAATTTATTAAAGTTGAATATACGTTATCATGTACACACACCACACACATTTATGCTTCTGAGATGATTTCATTCACGGTTCACATGACTAAACAATTACACATCACCCCCCTCACCCTCTGAAACAGGCAAACCAATAACAATATGCTAAAAAATGACCAGCATCGGCCAATACAGATATTGATGCCGATATATTGTCCATCCCTAATTTAAAGTCTCCAGACTCCTTTGCAGGTGTTTGGATTAATTAGTAAGTAAGAAAGTAGAAAGTAAAATATAATTATAGAGAACCTTTCAGGTCAAAAGTTGAACTCAAATTTATCAGATTTTTATTTTCTTGTTTTATTTTCTGTTCAAAGAAGAAGAATTCCTGTAATACAATCCTCAAGGTTTGATGATGTGAGCATTTTTACCTTCAAATTGGTGATTTCTGTCTGGTTTAAATAGACTATTTATTCCACTACTGCATGAGCCACACTCATAAAGCAATGACATGGAATGTGTCTGCTTCAGCTAAAGGGTAAAAGGCAAAAAACACATTTGTAGCATACACAAAGGTCAAGAATTTCATTAAAATGAACAGAAATGAAGTTTTTCATTTGCAGACGCAAACTGTGTCACACATGCAGGGAGGCGTCCCATCTGTCTGGCCTCCAAAGAAGAAAGGCACTGCACAAGACCTATAATAGCTCCTAGCACACGTATCTCGGCTGTGACAAAAGCCATGCAGAAGACGAGACTTCTGCACTTTCACTCTGAATGAACTTCATCATCCTTGAATCATAAATTACTTTACAACTTTATAGGTTGATATGATCAAATGTGTTGAATGTTTAAATCCCAAAGTGTTTAACAATGTGTGTATTAATCAATGATGTGTTAAAAGGAATCTTTTTCTAGTGGGGTGGTGGGTTGCTTTGCTCGGCGTTGGATGGGGGTGCCTGCTCTTCATCACCCCAGCAGAACCGGACTAAAGCTGGTCCCGGGACGGTTGTACCCTTTGTGCAGCGGTACCAGGACCAGAGTGAATAGGGTGTGTATGTGTGAGCATGAGGGAGGGAGTGTGTGAATGTATATGTCAGGTGGGGTTTTGGACTCCTCCCCTCTCTTGGTTCTCCCTGTGCTGATACACATCTTCACCTGCCCTCCCCCTGCCACGTTTGCTGCTGAGTGTGGAGCCTTGGTCTGCGGCTTGGTCAGCTTTCCTGAATTCTTGGTCCTTCATCGAGGACCCCTCCCTCATCACGGTGCTGGGACGCCAGGGGGCGTCCGTTGGGGGGGGGGCACTGTCATGTACCCGGGCAGAGGTGAGTGACACCATCTCCACTCTAACCATGATGGAGCTGATTCCCCACAGGTGAGGAGCGGAGGGGGCGGGTTTAAAAGGAGGATGGAGACGCCTCACTACGCCGGATGATTGCACCAGTTTAGGTAGCCCCAGCCCTTCGTACTCTTTCTCGTTAGCTCGCTTGTTCTCGTTATTGGATACTTGGATTTTGACCTCGGACTGTTTTTGGATGATCCCTTATGCCTGGTGTTTGTTTCCCTCCCTTCAGGATCCTCACTCCACCTGCTTCCCGCTCGCTGTTTTTGTACTCTGGATTCATACACCACGTCCCATCCTCCTCCGTGGTTCCTGTTGGCCCTGCTCTGCGACCTCACCACCCCGGATCACTCACCCTCTGCCCAGCGCTCACCTCAGCTCCCCCGCCTCCCCCATTCATCCCGAGTGCAACTTGGACTCGAGCTGCTCCGCTCACTCCCACAGGACTTCCCTGTGCTATTTTTGTTCCCGTTTAACAATAAAGAACTTTACTTTACTCAATCTGCCCGACGAGTATTGATTCTGCATGTCTTGGGTTTGTAGAGTTAACCGCACACTGGAATCACCTCTGTTGCTGTTCAGTGGAGATTCCGACCAATCAGATTAACCTATGAAGCTTATATCATACATATAAATATCCCGGATACTTACATATCGGTCTAAGTTCATACATCAACCTGTTTGATCTAATTTTAATCCAAAGATTAATGTTTAATTTAGATAATTAAATTTAACAGCAAAAGTTATTTTGAATCAGAAGCTAGGATCTTTGCTTTTAAAAAAACAGAAATATTATACCTTTTCTGTGTTTCGTTTCAATCATGAGGCAAGTTTAAAAATGAAGAAATTTATTACTAACAATTTTAAACTGAGCAGAGCAGAGGAATACACACCCCCATCACCATCAACGGCGACGCTGTGGAGAGGGTGAGCAGCTTCCGTTTCCTTAGAGTTCATCTGGCCGAGGATCTTACGTGGTCAGTGCACACGAACATTACAGTGAAGAAGGCACAGCAGCGCCTCTTCTTTCTCAGGAGACTGAAAAGATTTGGCATGAGCCGCCGCATCCTCAGGACCTTCTATCGCTGTGCCATTTAGAGCATCCACACTGGATGCATCACCACCTGGTATGGCAACAGCACCGCTTACAACCGCAAAGCTCTCCAGAGAGTAGTGCGGTGTGTAGAAAGGATTATTGGAGGTGAGCTGCCCTCCCTCCAGGACATCTACAGGAAGCGGTGCCTGAGGAAAGCGGGGAGGATCATCAAGGACTCATCAGGTTGACGGTTCCGTTGACTTTGTCACAGCCTGAACCTGTAATGAGGTGCCCAAGGGACGCCAAGGGCATCGGTTGGGTCGCCTCAGTTTGGAGTGTCCAATCTTTAAATGAAATGCCGGCGTCAAGGCGTCGTAACAGGTCTCCTCCCACTACGAAAGGAAGCGCTTCGACGTTAGTCACAAACACATGTCTCCCACTGTGAAGTTGATGGATACCACATCCGACAAGGATCCCCGGTCTGCAGAGAACGGTTGGATCTGCCTAACGCAGGTTGTGAGTCCTATGACGCGACCCTGTGCAGCTGCAGCCATGCGGACCTGCTCCCAGAGAGAGCTGGACATGATGGTATAATCTGAACCCGTGTCCATGAGAGCCTCACAGTCCAGTACCCCCTCCAGGGTCACCGGAATGTGAGGTCTATTCGTAGGACCACGTCGGGTGATACTGCAGAGCACTGTTCATGGAAATTTGATCGGTGAGCTCGGTTTGCTAGGTCTGGTTGGAAGCGTTCTGGATGTAAAGGATGTTTTGAGGCTAACTGAGTTATTTAGAGAGAAAACAGCATCAAACACATTCTGTTGAGGTCTACCTCACCCAATCCGAAGACCCCCGTTTTGGATCCGAAGTGTCCAGGTGGAGATGGGTTTCCTCCGGGCACGAGGTTGGTAGAAAGACCTCTAGCACGACCAAATCGGTCCTGAGATGTCTTCTTGGGTCACTCGACTGGTGGAACAATTTGCTTCTCAAAGCCCGTAACTCTGAAGGAGTTTTTCCTCTTAACTTAACTCAGAAATCAACAACTCTGGGTAGAGTCTTCGTTAGCTGGTTACAGTTCGTTTATTCTTTAGCTATTCTGGTCGGCGTGACTGGAACAGCAGGTGGAGGTTTTCAGGGACAGCTGTTCCCCTTTTCCTCCGTGGTGTTGGTTCAAGAACTCGTTCTGAAGCTGGTGATGGTTAGTTTAACCAAGCTCCAGGACACTCCCACTCTCTCAGGAAGAAAGCTTTGATCATGCATCAAAAACATGTGTGAAGTTATGTTTATCTGGACTCTGTGTTAGCTG